ATTTTGTTAACTATTTTTTTCTATTTATATGCACCAGGTTAAGTTAAAAGAACGAATATTTTGTCGCTTTGTACTCTGTTGGATATTTAGCATTCAATTTCCTGCATAATTGATGAAACGTTATATTTTTTCAAGTAGTTGAAAGCGAGATAAGAATTTTTGGAGAGATTTTCTTACAGGTGTCGAAGAACTTATGTTTTGGAAAATCAGGCAAAAAAAAAATTTGACCTACCTTAATACATGCATACATATAAACATTTTTTTTTAAAGGTTTATTTAATAAAAACTTAAAAATTGTTTTCTTCACACAAACATTTTTTTGTACCCACCCCAATTTACAGAGTTATATTTCTTTAATATGCAGCTGTTGACAGCTATTTAGAAACGACTCTTATCCAAAATACACATACTTTTTCAGTATATAAATTTTTTTCCTAAAAAAGTTTATTTAAAAAAACACGCAAAAATTTGTCCCTTCATAAAAATAATGTTTTTTACCCACACTAAAATGCACACCTTTATTTTTTCAGCATAAATATTATTTTCATAAAGGGTTTATTGAAAAAGAAAAACAAAAATTAGTCTCTAAATAAAAATAATAATTTTTTACCCACCCTAATATACACACTTTTATGTTAACAATATATGTACTTATAAAAAAATTTGTTTTCTCAAAAGGTTTATTCAAACAAAAAAATAAAAATTAGTCTCTTTATAAAAATAATGTTTTTTACCCACCCTAATATACACTATTTAATTTTTTCAATGTATAAAAATATTTTTTTCTCTTAAAAGATTCATATAAAAAAAAAAAATTAAAAACTAGTCTATTCATAAAAATTATGTTTTTTTTATATCCGCCATAATGCACACAGTTATATTTTTCCAATAAATATTAATATTTTTTTCTTAAAAGGTTTATTAAAAAAAATTCAAAATTTGTCTATACATAAAAATAATGGTTTTTTTTACCCATATTTTTTCAATATATATTCAGTTTTTTTTCTTATATATTAACTGGTAACTGCGAATAACACACATCATGTTTTGCTCCAAGTCCTGAATTGAAGCGGGATTGTCCGCACGGACTTTAGACTTTACATATCCCCACAGCAAATAGTTTAACGGTGTGATTTAACACGATAGTGGTGGCCAATCGACCGAGCAAAAATGTGAAATTATCTGCTCACCGAAGTGCTCTCTCAGTAATTTCATTGATTGATCACAAGCTTCAATTGCAGACACCAAATAGTCGGCGCGRTAAATGCGCCGAAGCAAATATAACGGTATTTGTATGTTTTTATAAATGTAAGTGTCTATCCTACCAAAATAATCAAATTCAGATAACATCTTTAAATCAATATAAACAGCTATGGCACTACTATATTTATGAACACAACTGTAGGTATGTGCATTAGCGTAAAATTATTTATAATATTTTCTTTAAAAATTATGCGCGCATACAAGTTTAACAATTTAAAGTAGTTAAAAATCAATTTTCCCATGCATTTTTTAATCGATTTACTACATAAATAAATATACATTTTTGATTTGATTGATAAAATCTTACATACATATTTATTATAATTGAAATCTTAACTTTCTTAAATTCTATGAGGATTTTTATTGCATATTAAATTTATCGTAAAATTGCACACAATTATGTGAGAAATCTTAATGTTGTTAAAATGTAACAAATATACAAATATGGTATAAAAATCCTATATATATATAAATGTATATACATACATAACATACATATAGAATGCTTAAAGATTAGTGTTGGCCTAAAACAGTTTGAAACATTTGATATTAGTGCGTACGAACGCTTAGAGCTCGTCTGGGATTTTGAAAGTTGAAAGTGCAGGGATTGGCTGGTGCAGCAATGACGACGGCATATGGTATAAAAATTTAGAAAAAATAAAATGAAAATKAAATAAAATTATTTTTAGCATAATTATCAATAATAATTGCCATTTGAACCGTAGAGCATTGCAGCTATCAAAAAAAATTATAAAATATTGTGAACTAATTTTCTGTTCTGTTATGTTCTTTAAGAAAATCTGTCGATTTATGCGTTATATAAATGAAAGCTGAATTGCATTTAAGGCTCATTTTATTAGAAAAATATATGAAGAATATTAACTAGCAGAAATATAAACTGAAGGCCTGATTAATTGGCAAGCAAACCTAGTTAATGCACTGAAGTGTTAGTTTTACATGAAAAACAAATCAAATTTGCTGCCGAATTTTGGAAAACACAAAGAATATGTATAAACATAAATGCTTCCAAATTGCATATAGAATACATAAATATGTACCTTGAGCATACCAAATAGCAAATCAAATACCAAATAAAAAACTATGTACCATTGTAAGTTCAAAGTATACTTATTTGATTGCTTTCTTGTTGTCCCTTTGTGGTAAATGAACGGCTGAAACACGCAGGGCTACAAATGAACCAAGCGCAAATATCGTTTAAGAAAAACTACAAGCGWGTTGGCATATATTTTGGCCAACAGTTGACAGTTAGGCATTTGCAATGCGCCAAAAGTGGCATAGAAATATCATTACATATATATGCACCCATATCAACATAGCATTTTTATTGTAAATACTAACGTACATTGTTGGGTTAAAGCGATTGTTATTATAATTAATTATATATACACACACATAAGTGAAATAAATAAAGTACATCAATTACTTAAACTATTGCATAACTGTATATTTTTTGGGAAAATATATAAAGGGTGTTTGTTTAAGAGGCCGAAATGCGTGAATATGAAAAGCATGAYAAGCTGGCCGACAGGGGTAAAGCTCGAAAATTCTAGTAAAAGGTGCGGCGATGCTCTCAAGATCGAAGCATGCTGTTGTAGAAGTCCCAGAGGTAAACTAATAACTGATGTCCAGAGCATACTGAAATTGTGGAGGCAACACTTCTGAGGATGAATGCCAGTGAAAGCATAATACCAGAAGATAGTGCACCCGATTCCGCAATCGATGACGTTGGAGCAGACTTTCCATTGCCCGGCCATGAAAAAATTCGAATAGCAATTACCCGCCTAAAGAACAAGATAGTAGCTGGGGCTGATGGATTTCCGTCCGAGCTATTCAAAGATGGCGGCTAAGAATTGATAAAGAGCATGCATCAGCTTCTTTTTAGGATCCGACGATTCGAATTTAAGTATGCTCTGCCCAATCCACAAAAATGTAGACACTACAATCTGCGACAATAAGCCTCTTCAACATCGCATATAAGATTCTATCAAGCGTACTGTGTGAAAGACCGTTTACGCGGTTTTACCCAAGTTTACAACAGCGCATTAGTCGTTCTTCGCTTTCGCTGTATGACGCCAATTGGAAATCCAAGTGTAGTCAGGTCCTACTTTATCTGTTATTTGCAACGAAGTCATCCGAGGGTATTTTGTTCTTTTCATCGGGAATTTTTTTTACTTGGCGAGTTCCAAACCTATCGCAAAACTTTGGAATGTTTCGCCTTCTCACTTAAACTCGCCTTCAAAAGGATGTTTTTATCTATCCAAAGTATACCAAGTTTTAGACCGAAAGTCAAGAGTTGCTTGAGCCATATGTAAAAGAATTGTTTCTGGCTACTTCCAAGTGAATTGAACTTTTCTCACATGCATGAATTTCTACACGTGCCTCCAACCTGCTTTATAAAGATAAGGATTTGTTATTATGCGTCGTCTTGTTGGAACCAGAGTTGTCCACATCAATATTCCTTAATTCAAGCATTAAAAATACATTAATCATGGTTCTTTAGCCTTCTGCATTGACTATAACATTATGGACGGCTTTCAGTTTTGCAAAAATATGAGTCAAACATGGAGCCCTCTGACCGTAGATCACACCAAACATTGACTTTCTGAGTATGAAACGGCGTCTCAACCAAGGCTTGTTTATCATTATTACTCCCCATGCGACAATTTCMTTTATTGACATTCCCATTCAACCACAAGTGTATTTAATCGCTGTACAACATTTTTTTGTAACATGTGGAATCGGTGGTTATCTTATTTCATTTCGSAAAATCTTCTACAATTTTTGCATGCGATGGCGGATAAGCTCATTCTGGTCTGTTTCGATCTGCCCTACTATATGGCAGCTTTGAGGATACGCATTATCTACTAGAGTTAACGTGCTGCAAAACCGATCAATGGGTGCTGAAATTATCGTCTCTGCTGATCGATTGAATAGTAGTTATAGCGCCAAATTATTATTTTACAAAAGGAGACATCGAAGACCTCATATACATATAAATGATCGGCATGACGAGCAGAGTCAATACGCAAGCTAGTCTCTTAGTTTTTGGAATATCGATATAAAATTTTGCTAAGCACTTTTCTCGCCTAGAAACTGTTCATTTGTTGGATCCGCAGATATAGCATATAGCTGCCATACAAATTGAACGATCAAAATTAAGWCCCTGTAAGGAAAACTTTTTTACTACTCGAGATATCTTAACGAAATTTAACGTAGCTTATTTTCTAAG